GACTTGCAAAATCGTTTCGTTCAGGCCCCGTTCGCATGTAATTGGGTAACTCTGTCTGAATTGCATTCATATCAGAAATATACTGTCGAGTAATGTAGCCACCACTAAAGAACTTCTTGTCTCCTGGTTTCGGATGATTGCTTGAAGGATACGCAATTCCTAAGTTATTGGCCTCTAATAAGAAGCCAAAGGACTTATCACCTCTAATACATTCGTTTCGGTTCTTAGAACATGATGCGTGAATTAATTCTTCAATAGATGTCTGCTTTACCAATTGGTCAGCATTCAAATCGTCTCCAGTTAAGAGATAACCAATCATCGAATAGTTTCCAGCAGCGTGTCCGTGAACATCTATAAGTAAACCTCGACCAAATTGTCCTTTAATCTTTGCGATTGCACGCAGTATAAAACTGTGATAACTTTGATGACCGTGGATCCCTTCCAAATTGTTCATTGTGCCTTCATTTTGTTCACGGTTGAAGTCAACTTTTTTTCTATTCCACTGACCAATGACCATATAGGGTGATAAACCATACTTAGTTTTGAGTTGTTTTGCTACATTTTTCGCAAAATCATCACTCATGACGTCCCGAACTGTTGTTGTTGCACATTGCTTAGAATCGCTGTCACCGCAATTATGTTTCCAAATGCATACATTATTAGTTGAATTAAAACATCCAGCAGTTCGGTCAGGAATGTCCGATGGTACGATATTCCCACCGTGTGGAGCCGAAATGATTAAGTTCACATTTCCATTCTGAAAGGATATACACGAATCACGATATCCATGTAAAAATTCGTCCCCGTTAACAGAGATGAGTAAAATGACGAGACCAAAAGCAGAACAATACATGCTATTAACAATGTAACAGTATGCTGCTGTTTCAGTTCTTTTATTCTTTTGAGTATTCTATTTCAACTTTTAAATTAGAGGATTTAAACATTGTCTCTTTTTATTAGAAATAACTATTATAAGTAATCTTATCGGACTAAAGGTCAGAGAAATAAAGCCTTATATCATACCTTACGAGCCGACGTATATGCATGAAGAATCCAATGATTATACGGCCAAGGGCTGAATAACGTCATCCATTAAGCGGTTTTTTGGGGCAAGATTTCGCGAGCCCAGAGATATCGCAAAAAAATCGCAATCTCAATAATTATCCATTCAAAAT